AGGGACGTGGTACGGCTGAGGGACACTGAGAGGGTTGCTATTAGCATAACGTTAGCACAGTAAGTGTGAAAGGGACGTGGTACGGCTGAGGGACACTGAGAGGGTTGCTATTAGCATAACGTTAGCACAGTAAGTGTGAAAGGGACGTGGTACGGCTGAGGGACACTGAGAGGGTTGCTATTAGCATAACGTTAGCACAGTAAGTGTGAACGGGACATGGTACGGTTGAGGGACACTGAGAGGGTTGATAATAGCATAACATTAGCACAGTAAGTGTGAAAGAGACATGGTACGGCTGAGGGACCCTGAGAGGGTTGATAATAGCATAACATTAGCACAGTAAGTGTGAAAGGGACATGGTACGGCTGAGGGACCCTGAGAGGGTTGATAATAGCATAACATTAGCACAGTAAGTGTGAAAGAGACATGGTACGGCTGAGGGACCCTGAGAGGGTTGATAATAGCATAACATTAGCACAGTAAGTGTGAAAGGGACATGGTACGGCTGAGGGACCCTGAGAGGGTTGATAATAGCATAACATTAGCACAGTAAGTGTGAAAGGGACATGGTACGGCTGAGGGACCCTGAGAGGGTTGATAATAGCATAACATTAGCACAGTAAGTGTGAAAGGGACATGGTACGGCTGAAAGACACAGGCTTTATTAATATTAGCATGATGTTACCCCAGGGAGCAAAAGAGGATGCAGTGTGGCAGATGGACTCAAAGAGATGCTATATGAACTGCTAGTAGGTTTGGCCCTGTTCCTGCTCTGATAGGTGATTGTCTGCCAGCACCCTGGAACTGAGCACAAATGATTAACTAAACATCAATACTCAAGCTACTCTGGATATACCCATATGTGTGTGTGTGGGGGGCGGGTGGGGGGTATACTCACCGGGAGTAATTTAACAGCTGATGGAGTGTATTGATAGTTGTCTATAATTAATTTCACTGTCAGGACAGTTTTATGTGCAGGGCTTGTCCTTCAATATCAGCAAAGTGATTTGCCTGTGGGGCAGTTTTTTACTTGTAGAGGCAGATTTTTGTCTTAACAGAAGTTGTAAGAAGACATGGGGAAGCCACTGAGCAGGCCTGACTGCCTGAGACGGGGCCACCATAGTTCCCGGTGCCTCGGGAAAGGACAAGGAGAGGATGGGGCCATCGAGGACTGTTACATCCCCCAGCGCTCCATCTACGATACCGTGCGCATCAATGAGCAGATTGACCAGGGCTCTGTCTCTAGCACACTGGCCTCTGGGGGGGGTGAAGGCAGCACCCTCTCCACAGAAGGCACCCTGGGAGCCGTGGGCGCATCTAGGCCTGGCTCAGGCAGAAAGCTTGACGAGAGGCAAATCTATGATGCCCTCAAGCTGAGTGCAGAGCCCCTGAGCCTGTCCACTGGAGAGGGTGGGGCCTCCGTGTCACCGGGGGCTTCATCCTGCTCATCTGCACTTGGGGGGGCCAGGCGATCCATTGGTTTTGAACGGAATGAACAAAGTCGCCGGTCCTGGAAGACCTTCCTGCCTGCAGAGTTTATGGAGGAGGCAACAGAAAAACAAGTGTTGGGAAGCCCACCTGCTCGCTGCACAGCATCCCCCACTGACAGTCCTCCCACTCTGATCTCTTTCTCGGAGAGGGGTGAGACCCCTCCACTCAACCCAGCAGCATCCTGCCTTCCCTCCCAGACCCTGAACACTACCCCAGCCAGTGATCTGAGACCGGTTTCAGTCTCCCCTTCCAGACAGACTTTTCCCTCCGTACGGCTCGGCTCTGCCCCACTGCCTCAGCCGCTATTCACCTGCAGGGCACTGAAGAGGGATGCTGAAGCTGAAGGGGATGCTCTGGCTTCTGAATTGGATGGTGATAAAGTCCCTCTTCTTCCTCCACTGGTTCCCCTCACGCCCACACTCTGCCCCTCATCTACAGAGCGTACCTGGCCCCGTAGGCTGATGGGACGCAGGAGGACTGTGAGCCAGGGCGGCGTGCTCCACAATCTCCCCATCCTGCCACCACTGCCCCCTCTGCTGGCTGAGCACAGTGGTGTGGATGAGGTAGTCTGCCTGCTTGGCCCTGCCTCAGTTTTCCCACAGGGAAGGCCCAGTGTGGCTGGTGAGCTGCGCCTAGGTGACAGGGAGTGGGGGGGGCTTCAGCAACTGGAGGAAGAGGAGGAAGATGAGGGGAGTGAGGGAAGACAGGAGACAGATGAGTACACCTGGGAGGCTCTGCTTCGGCAGGTGGACTCTCTCTGGGAGCCGATGGCAGGGGGGGCCGATATGGCAGGCTGGGACCCCCTGCACATGGGCTCCCTGGGCCGCTGGCCACTGCTGCGCCCCCCCGCTGGGTTTGGGGGCTCAGAGCCCCCCTCTGGCCCCGGGTCTGAGCTTGGGTCTGATGACCTGGAGCTGGAGGGCCTTGGAGAGGAGGCTAAGGAAGGGGTGGGTCTGACAAGCCCCACGTTCCCCATGGTGGGGCGGGCCTCAAGCAGGCCCGGGACATTACCAGGAGCCAGGCCAAGTCTGGAGCTCCTAGAGCAGCATAGTCCTAACGAACAAGGGCAGGACAGGACTGCTGCACGGGAATTGGAGGTGTGCACAAGAGACAACCTGGGGGGGCTGGATGCACTGTCAGATGGTGGCAGGCCGGACTGTAGCACGGACACCATTAACACCACATCAGAGGAAGCCTTGCCAGGGAGTAGAGTTGTCAGGGAAGGTGTCACCATGGAAACGCAGGATGCTGGGAATACAGAAAGCCTCCAGATGGGAGCCACTGAAGGCCAGGAGGAGGCCTGTTCAGAGGGGGGGGAGGAGAAGGAGGCTATCAGGCTGCAGGAGGTGAGCGTTGACCTGCAAAATGGGAAAGTGGACTGTTCCCGTCGCAGCAGAGACCTGCCCCTCCCCCTGTCTCCCTCCAAGCAGGAGCTGGGTGGCCCCACCCTGGAGGGGAAGGCTGATGCCTTTGTCACCACAGACAGCTTTGTTTATCTGGCAGTGTCAGCACTGACCCCGTTTCCGCAAGACACCAAGCCCCCCTCCCTGGATGGCTCTGAGCCACCCAGCCCCGGAGCCCTGCCTCAGCCCTGGCCTGAGGAGAGCGACTTTCTCTCCACAGACAGCTTTGTGTACCTGGCTGCTCCAGAGCGCCTCACACTGGCTCCAGGGCAGAGCAGTGCATGTGGAGATTCCCAGGGTTCTAGTTCAGAAGATAGTCGATCAGGAGTGGACTTTGTGCTGGGCTCCATGAACGGAGAAAGCGACTGGGACTCTGATGGATCTGGGTCTGAGCGAGCACCAGGCCTGCCCAGCTGGGATCACTGGGAAGAGCTAGAGCCAGCAGTCCTGCAAGAGCTTTTTCGAGATGACCAGTGGGAGCACGGATTGGGGCCATGTGACTGCGGGTCCAGTGTTGTAGAAGGAGAAGGTGACGAACAAGGGGAAGTGAAAGAGGTGGAGGATGGACTGCAGCCGTCAGAGCAGGTCGAGGAGCAGAACCCCCTCATAAAGGTAGAGCAGCTCTTTGAAATCTGCCCGTGCCAAATGTACATGTCAAACACTGATTACGTCAGTCATACATTTGTCAGTGAAGGTGTCAGCACAGTGTGTCCATATCAGTCCGCAAATGTGTTTGTGTCTGACAAATACACACTGTGGTCTTCATAAACACCATCTTCTTAGCCACACTATGGAGTAGTGGAGCATCTTGTCTGTGTAGATACACATTAATGTGCTTCTCATCACAGTCCATTCCTCTTTCAGCTCAATTCTCCTTTTCTGAAACCATTTTAAACAATGTTATGTACCACCTCCTACTAAAACCACCCACACTGCATTTCTCTCGATCCCGCAGACAGAATGAAATGAAGCTGTTCTTACACGGTGCACAGACTGCTGCCATTTGCATACTTACATAAGAAGCGGCTCTTGATCCCTCACCTCCAGTAAACAGCCTGTTCCGCCTCCTCCATCTCTCTGGCCTGCACTCACTCTCTCGTCCCTGGGCATGCGCGCCTGTGTGTGCACCCTTATTTTCCTGTGTGTGTGTGTGTGCTGGCGTGTGTGTGAGAGCTCCTGTATGAACACACAAAGCAGCAAGCTACAGCAGAGCTATGAGTCACCCTTCAGCTTGTATCACACAGAAATGCACATACTTACAAATCAGGCTGTACTGTAGGGTCTGCTGCTCAACTAGCTTCTGATTGGTGGTGTGTTTGCGTTTTATCTTTTCTATCTGCTAACCCTGAAATTGCAAGTTGTGCGGAGGGTAGGAAACATATCCCCACACTGGATGGGATGGCAGTCCATCATAGGACACACTGGATGGGATGGCAGTCCATCATAGGACACACTGGATGGGATGGCAGTCCATCATAGGACACACTGGATGGGATGGCAGTCCATCATATGACACACTGGATGGGATGACAGCCCATCATAGGACACACTGGATGGAAGGCCGGTCCATCATAGGACACACTGGATGGGATGGCAGTCTATCAAGGGACACACTGGATGGGATGCCAGTCCATCATAGGACACACTGGATGGAATGCCAGTCCATCAAAGGACTCACACATGGACACTATGGGTAATTTAGATATGCATGCCTAACAGTGAACTATTGGAGGAAACTAGAATACCCAGAGAAAATCTGTACAACACGGGCATGACATTCAGGCTGCATGCAGCCCATCACTGAGTCACCTCGGTTCTTCTCTCTGTGTTATTGTGCTGTGTCTTTGCTCATGTACTGTTTTTGAATGGTGCAGTGTCCGTAATATTGTATGAATTTCTGATTGTGGCTCTGTTACAGTTATTTGTGTTCAGTTTGTAATTATATAGCCCCTTTCCCAATTTAATATTTAGAATTACGTAGGTCCTCAGTGTGCTTAATATAGAATTCAACAGCAGCGGCACTTACTTTTAACAGTTCACATGTCTGTGTGAGTTGTTCAGTATTTAAGTGGCGCACTATGTTCTTCATTACCCCCTATTCTCGGCTTCTGTCCCTGACCCAGTTCAGGATGAACTCATTTATTCTCCTAAAATAGAATCACTAAGGGCCTTAATTATTACAGAGCACTGGTCTCTCCTCTCACGCTACACTGGAGACATGCAGGACCTTTTGGGAATGGAGCAGCCGATGAACATTAGAACATAAGAAATGTACAAAGGAGAGGAGGCCATTCATCCCATCGAGCTCATTTGGGGAGAACTCACCTAACAGCTTAAAGTTCTTAAAATCTTATCTAGCTCTGATTTAAAGGAACCCAAGGTCTTAGCTTGCACTACACTAACAGGAAAATTCCATACTCTACATAATTTCCGCTAATTTCCACCTATAGCCATGAGTTATTTGTTTGAACAGCATCCAAACCTATTAGAATCTTATATACCTGGATCATATCTCCCCCATAGAGCAGCTCCTGCACACACAGACACGCAGGAAAATAAGGGTGCACACACAGGCGCGCATGCCCAGGGACGAGAGAGTGAGTGCAGGCCAGAGAGATGGAGGAGGCGGAACAGGCTGTTTACTGGAGGTGAGGGATCAAGAGCCGCTTCTTATGTAAGTATGCAAATGGAAGCAGTCTGTGCACCGTGTAAGAACAGCTTCATTTCATTATGTCTGCAGGATCGAGAGAAATGCAACTTAGGGGCATTATGTGGCAAAAGTTTCCTGTGGGTGGGTTTTATGGTTAGTGTGGGCGGGCTTTAAAGTTGATGTGGGTGGGGTTTAATCATTACATGGGTAGGCTTTTGCTTGCCGTAATTAATGGTGACACTTAACCACCAAAACTCAGAGATAAACATTTTTAAAAGCATATGACATTATAAAACTTACAAAGGTTCCCATTTTTTTTTTACTGTATTTTATCCATGTTATTTTCATGTTGTTAAGCAGTGAATGTGTCATGTATGGTTTTGGTTGGTGTCCTGACCTTCAGCAAGCTTCACTCATGCTGCACTTCTAGATTCTGATGAGCCAGTGGAGAGAAACCCTAGCAGAACTGGACCCGTGGCTAGAGGAGATGGAGTCCAGCATCGCTCATCTGCTGTCACCAGCATGTGGCCTGGAGGAGCTGACACAGCAGCAGGACCAGCTGAGGGTGAGGTGTGTGTGTGTGGACATGCTTCTCTGTCTTGTGCGGACAAACACATTAAGACAGATTTATCACAAAACCTGGACAAATCAGTGCTCTTTCTCCTCTCTCTTCCAGCTTCTAAGGGAGTGTGTTTCTGAGCACCAGGCCTATATCAGCAAGCTCCTCCTGACTGGGTCTCAGCTTGCTAGCCTTGGTGCCCTGGAGGAGGTGACAATGAGGGAGCGCTCCTGCTCAGCAGAGCAGCGTTATGTGGCTGTCATGGAGAAGGTCAGGAGTCATGGCAGAGCCCTGGTGGAGGCCATCTGTCAGTCCTCACAGGTACTACCCAGCCTCCAATTACACTCCAATCACACTCCAATTACTCTCGCTTGAACTATAACTGTAAGTCTTACACTCACATAAATATTCACATCTTCTCCATGTAGTTCCATGAGAAGATAGGATCTCTATTGGAGACCTTGGAGAGGGCAGCACTGCGTCTGAGACAGCGCCCCCCAGTGGCTGTGGAGGTAGAGAAGATTCAGGAGCAACTTGCAGTCCACCGTGCAGCTGGATGGGAGCTGGACAAGCTGCTTCCAAGCTACAGTGTCCTCTGTCACCAGGGGGAGGAAATGGCAACTTGGGGGAAAGAAGCCTACCCAGAAACCCAGAGTGAGATGAAAAGTAGTAGATCTACAGAATCATATTGAATTTATGAAGTAACAATAATAATGAGTTACTGATATGAATGATTGTAAGTCGCCTTTATGTAACGCAGCAGTGCAGCTACAGCTGCAGCGGCTGCAGAGCGTGTGGGATGAAATCCGGCAGCGTGCAGACGAGCGTGAGGCAAAGCTGCTGGCAGCCCTGGATCTGGCACAGGCTTTCTGGGCTGAGGCAGAGCAGCTCCAGGACACACTGCGAGACGCACATGTTGCGGTGAAGGAGCTGGAGGCTCCTGAGATTGACCCAGTCCTCATCAAGCACCAGATGGAAATCACAGAGGTCAGCTTTTAATGCATCACAACAGGCGGGAGGAATTGTAATACATCGGCTTTTTGTATCCGTCTCGGTTTGCAGTACTACTACTAATAATAATAATTGATAGTTCCCTGTGGGGAAAATGTCTTTACACTTCCCTCAACTTGCTCTTTGTAGAGTAACCAGATGGAAATCACAGAGGTCAGCTTTTGGACCTCTGTCAAGGGCAGCCACCTGTTGGGGCACCCAGGGAGCTGCGGGTTAAGGGCCTTGCTCAGGGACCCACAGACGTGCCCACGCTGGGTTTGAACTGGTGACCTTCTGATTACAGGCATACAAGCTTAGCCCACTGAGCCACACACTGCTCCCAGGAATTGCTTTGTGATGAAAGCATGAAGCACTTTCCTGGTTTCTCTCTCAGCGCTGGTATCTCTCAGCATGGTCTCTCTACTATGGTGTCCCTCAGTGGGGTGTTTCTGTTTTGGGTGAGCTTCTAAGTACTCTATGTTTTCGTTTCCCTTCTATAGTCCATTAGGGCTGAGGTAGATGGGCTGTGGCAGAAACTGGGTGCTCTGCGCACACTGGGTGCTGATCTCATTGCTGCTTGCGGAGAAACAGACAAACAACAGGTGGTGAAAACCATGGAGGAGGTGAGTGGAAGAGGAGTGCATGAGTAAGGAGAGGAGCTGGCAGTGGAGAACAACAAAAAAGAGAAACAAGAAACCAGGATGAAGGCAGTGTTCCAAAAATTGATGTTTTTTGGGGTTTTCTTCTGCCAAACCCTTCAGATAAACACAGCCTGGGACAGGCTCAGCAGGACATGTGGAGAGAGAAAGGAAAGACTGGAAGAGGCCTTGATGACATCACTGCAGTACCAACATGCCCTGCAGGTAAGGTCTCTGCAGGCGCTGCCAGCACGCTGCTGAGCTCATTAGTGCCCCTCGCCATATCTGTCTAGATGATTAACAGGGCTTTTTCTTACTTTGATTATCTGGTCTCTATGTCTCTCCCAGAACATGTTTGATTACCTGGACAGTGCCATGCGGGAGCTCAATGAAATGTCCCTTGTGGTGGTCGATCTTGGAACTGTCATGCAACAGATGGAGGAGCTCAAGGTTGCAGTGTGTGTTTGTGTTTGCATGGTATTGCTGTGTATTACCATGCATTCCTGTTTGCATGGTATTGATTGCTGTGTATTTCCATGCATTCCAGTTTGCATGGTATTGCTGTGTATTTCCATGTATTCCTGTTTGCATGGTATTGCTGTGTATTTCCATGTATTCCTGTTTGCATGGTATTGCTGTGTATTTGTTTTTGCATGTATTTTTAGGGTATTGCTGTATATTTGCATGTGTTAGTGTTCACATGGTATTGTTGAGGATTTGCATGTATTCGTGTTTGCATGGCACTGCTATGTATCTGCATGTAATGTTTGTCTGTGGACACTTGCATGTGAGCACATGGCATTTATTTGTGTATTTTCTTGTGTGCATTTTGTTTCAGGGTGAATGTCCAAAGCTTGGCTGTCTTTTCCCTGTGCTGACGCAGCTGTACTAAGTGTCTCCTGTATCTCTATTCATATAGCTGTACAGAGCAGGTGTATATCAACAGCAGATCAACATGGAGGTCCTGACCAATCAGCAAGCAGCGCTCTTAAAGAGGACTACAGACCTTGCAGAGAAAAATAAGATCCAAGAGCCGCTCACGGTGCTGAGGGAGCTATGGGATCATTTGGGGACCAAGATAACGCAGAGACAAGTAAACACACACAAGTCTGTGGCTCCATAATTCTCATTCATCCATATTCTACTTCTTATATTCACTGCTTCTTATATTCACTGCTCACCATTCTTATCAGGAGAGTAGTAAACACTCTCTTTATGTTTGTCTTCAGTGTCACCAATTTGTTTTGCTGCTGCCTTTTTAGCACCAGCTGCAGGGTGCATTGTTGGCTCTGGGTCAATTTGAATACATCCTGTCTGAGCTGCAGTCCTGGCTGTGCCAGACCCACATCTCCCTGGACACACTGCAAGCAGTCAGCTGTGATCCCAGGACAATCGAGATGGAGCTCGCCCAGCACCGGGTAAGCCTCCCTCTTTGGTTTCATGCGCACTGCACATCTACAGACCTGCCTCCAGGCATAGGTATTTACACATCCTACACCGATGGCACCAAGAAGCAAGCTGTACCCGAGCCGTACCATGAACTTGCGGTATTCCTTTGCAAAGGATGCTAGCCATACACAAAATGTACATGTGCTGACATGGTCCTACTTACTAGCAGGGCCAAAAGCATAAACAAATGGAGCTGGTTGTATTACCAGCATCTGACTGGTCGAAATGCATGGAGATATTGGTGTTATGTTCATGGATTATCTGAAGGAAAAAGGTATATGTTCTACATATTATTGATTATTAGTAGTATTGCACATCGCATAAAAAAATTCCAATCTCCTACTTAAAAAAGTACTATAGAACATAGGAACATACATTCATAATACAAATTTACGAAAGTGAATGCTAATTTCACTGGCAATTCTCATAGATATGCTGGCAGAAATTAGCACACAGTTAAATAAAATAATAATAATAATAATAATAATAATTGCACATAGAAAACCATGATGTACACTGTGTGAACAGCAAATAATCTTTTTGGTTTGATGTCATATTATACGTCTATATTTGCCTTCATCTTCTTTACTTACCTCTCAGGTCCTGAAGAATGAACTACTGTCACGTAATTCCATGATGGAAAATATCAGTGGTGCTGGCTGGGAGCTCATGGAGTCCAGCTCGGGGGAGAGGGCCAGCCACCTGCAGGGGCAACTGGAAACTCTCAATCATAGTTGGCAGAGTTTGCTACTCGAGGTCCAGGCGCAGCAGAAAATACTGGAGGCCGCACTGCTGAAGGTTCCTGGAGACAGGAGGCGCTGAAAATGAGATAAGAGGAAAGGCAATACAAGGCACTCATTTAGAAAGTGTGGCTGATAACTTGCTTGTTTACTGTCTGTTAACCAGGCAGAACGATACCAGAGAGAACTGGAGGAGAGTATTCAGTGGCTAAGTGACACAGAGAAGCAGCTGGCAGACGCCGTGCCTACTGGGGGCCTGCCGGAGACTGGCCGCGAACAGCTGCAGCGTCATTTGGTACGAAGCCCTTAAATGCGCACTGCTGTGCAGCAGTAGTGGGCATAGCTAACAAAAAATTAACTTAAGTAATTTTACGAATTTAGCTTTGGTTTGGTTTTTGACTCTGAAACCCTTAAAAACACACCTAGAGAGCTGAAAATATTATTAACTTGTTTAATACTGAAGTCCCATTCGTCAAAATCGCCCAATTCAGCAAATAACCCCTAACCCATAACCCTAACCCAATTATCATTGCATTCTGCAGAGTCTCCAAAATTATTCTGCATTGAAACTTTCTTTCAATACTGACATTTTGTCCTCGGGTGAAGCTGCTTGGGGACTACAAACATGGCGCCATTTACCTGGAAATAAGGAGGATCTCAGCTCTGTAATGGTCTACAGCTCTGCCAGTCAGAATCTGGAAAATACAACCTGTGACCTGTATCACGAAGCAGGATTTCTTGCTTAGCCAAATTACTTGTCAGATTTAAGGTAGTCTGGGCTATATGTAAGTGAATGAAATTAAAGTCCATTTAAAGTCGGGTACCTTAAATCCAACAGTTATCCGGCTAAGTTACAAATCCAGCTTTGTGATTCATTCATTCATTCACCTTTATTTTACCAGGCAAAGCATTAAAAAAAGTTTCTTATTTACAATGACAGTCTGGCAACTACAGTCCCCTGTTTTCCGCTTGGCTCAGGGTACTGCAGTTTAAATTGACTTTATCTTTGTTCACTTACATTTAACCCAGTCTTAAATCTGACAAGTTATCAACCAATCACATGATGTGTTTATCTGTAGTCAGCCAATAGCATGCCAGACAGACTGTTGCAGGCACACTCACAACAGACATATCAAAAATGTATGGTTATAGTTTGCAAGCGTTTTTGACCATGAAACTTTATTCACTAAGCCTTCTCCCCAATCCAGCTTGATGGGCCAAATGGCCTCCTCTCGTTTGTAAATTTCTTATGTTCTTATGTTCAAAGCAGAAACACGAATCTGCTAACGAAAAAGTTAGCTTTGCTAATTAGCTGAACCCTGCCTGCCACTGTGTGCAGGTGCACACAGACATTGTGAATCCATGAAATCGTTCTTGATACAGGCACTGCAGGAGGAGCTTCTGCAGCGAATGGATCAGTTCCATCGGCTCCTGGAGCAGAGACAGACCATGCTGCCACCTCATGGAGAGGAGGGTGAGGGTGGACTTAGCATTGGACAGACTCTCCAGAAATTGACTCTGCTTCAGAACAAGTGGAGCACACTTAACACCAGGATGGAGGAGAAGAAGGTGAGAAACAGAGAGATGGCTGTCTAGCTGGTCTCTTTATTACATTGTTGATATTTACTTTGGGCAGCATTGTGGCTCAGGGGTAGTCCTGTATTCTAGCATCTCCAGGGCAGGAGGCTCGGATCCTACTCTGGTTGTCCGTGTTTGCATGCTCTCTTTTTTCTTTGTGCAAATAGAAGGTTTGGCTTTAAATGTCCATTATATGTGTGTGCCTTGCAATGGAAAAGTGTGTGTGAATGGTGCGTGTGCCCTGCGATGGGCTGGCGCCCCATTCTGGGTTATGCCCTGCCTTACATCTGTGTGTGAATGGTGCGTGTGCCCGCCGACGGGCTAACGCCCCATCCTGGGTTATCCCCTGCCTTACATCTGTGTGTGAATGGTGCGTGTGCTCTCCGACGGGCTAGCGCCCCATCCTGGGTTATTTCCTGCCTTGCACATATTGACTCTGTACCCGCTTGTCACCCTGAATAGGACAAGTGGGTTCAGAAAATGGATAGGTATTACAGCTCAGAATTCAGAAGCAGTCAAGTTGTCTCTGGGTTTTCGGTATTTCAGTGTTTTCCATTCATATATTATACAAATATTAATTCATATTTCAAAGGCAATTATACGTGTAACATTAATATAAGCATAGCTTGGTAAGATAACGCGTTTATGATTAATTTCCAACAGAGCAGTTAATTTTCTATACGATGCAGTGCTTGGACGCATGGCTCACTGAGGAAGCTGAGCTAAGCCACATGCTGTCTCTTCCTTCATTTCCTTCTACTGTCCACAGCTGAGGCTGGAGCAGATGGTTACCCTGGCAACAGCCTTCCAAGCCTCCCTGCAGGTGTGCATCAACTGGCTGATCCAGGCGGAGCAAGCACTCAACATGGCCCCCCCCCCTAGCCTCATCCTGGACACCGTGCTGCTCCAGATGGCTCAGCATCAGGTGTGAAGA